ATGGTGGAGGAAGAAGAAAGTGTTAATGGCGGAGGAACAAGAAGATATAGAGGAATGAGGAAGAAGAAGATGTAGAGGAAGGAGGAAGAAGACGATGTAGATGAAGAAGAAGATGCAGGAAGAAGAAGATGTAGACGAAGCTAAGAAGAAACAGCAACCAAGGTGGAGATGCGTTAATGGCGGGAGGAAGAAGAAAGTTTTTGGGTTTGTTTGCAAGAATTTCGGGTTTTTGGGAATATAGTATAATTTTTAAAAGATTACATAATACTTCATTAATCCTAATTAAGCACTAATCAAGTTTAATTACCCTTAATCGATAACAAGGCTATTTAGTTAACACTTTAAAACTTCACAGCCTTTTAATTAAATTTAAACTTGAGATGGCTTTTTAATAAACTACCCTGAAGAAAACAGAGAAAAATTAGTTAGAGTTTAGTGGAATTTTCTAATTGAATTGGATGAATGAAGAAGAAGGCACGTGATTAAGACTTTATATTAAAGTAGATCACTAAAACACCATTGTTCTTACAACAGAAGTTAACTCCTAGTTTTGCTATATTACAAACTGACCCAGGTAAATTTATTACACTACAAAAACCATCAACCTTCATACATATTATTCTCAATATCTCCCCTTAACACAATGTAATAACTGCTTTATACTAGAATACTCATAAAAATATAGATAATAAAATTATGGGTACATCAGTAAAAATAGTTGGGCCCAAATTTTTCTTTTATTCAATATACATATTCTTTACACAAAGTCAGTATCATTTACAAAAGTTCTCAAAAGTGTATGGACAGTGTAACTATTCCTCCTCGCTTGCAGATGTCCATCCGATTGTGTCCTTACCTAGGTCCTGCAAAACATAGAAAAACAACGGGTGAGCACAACTAATGCCCAGTAAGTAAATCCTCTACTTATCTATCCCCGTAACTCTTTCTCTTAATTCTTTCCTTACACTCTTCTCTCTCTGTTTCTGTTTCTCATACTCTTTTCTATACACTCTCTGGTGTATGTCACGGCCTCATCTTACCGGAGGCACGGCTAGGGACTCATCCCACTCTTCGTGACTCAACTCATTCTCTCTTTTTGTTCTTTCTCTTTCTCTGTTTTTCTCATTCTTTCTCACTCGAGTGTCATGACCCCATCTTACCGGAGGCACGGCCGGGAACTCCCCTGCTCTACGTGACTTCTACTCATTCTATACCGATCGGACTCGGTTATGCATGGATTCAGAACCCTTGGCCATGTGAGTGTACATTCTTTCTCTCTATCTTTCGAACGTCACGGCCCCTTCTTACCGGAGGCACGACTGGTGATCACAAAGCACCCACTCTCGTGACTTTACTCATTACTCATGGGTTCCCCATTGCACAACCTACTCTATCCTCTTCTTTTGCTCTTAGAGTAGTTTATTCACAAAGGTCTCTACTCTTTCTCAAGCTAATGCTCATCTCATTCTCAAGCTAGTACTCATAGTGTAGCTTAACTCTTAGAGTAGTCTATTTACAAAGTTCTCAACTCTTTCTCAAGCTACTTCTCAATGCACAATTAATGCATATGGATGGTTCATGCTCATTAATGCACTTAGGAAATGTCAATATGCAATGTTGAAAGAATTAAGGTTCACAACTCATGCTCATACTTCTTTTAGGTATTTCATCAAACAACTCATGTGCATACAAAAACTCTTCTCTAACTACAACTCTATTTCTCTTTTTAACCATCCAAAATGGGAAAAAACTCCCTTCTATGGACATAATTCCTATCATAGAAGAACGCTCCCCAAAAATTTACTCAATCTCCTCCAACTTCATCTCAAACTCATCACACATCAACACTTCTCATAAAGGAAGCATATCCAACAAACACAACATGAATATTCATCTCAACTCAATTTCTCAACAAGTAGACATATATCTCTACTCAATTTCTCAACAAGCATCATATATACATGCATAAAGAAATCTCTACTCAAGGATTGCTTAAACTTTAGCTTTGAGTTTGATTTACTTACCTTGTGATGGTGTGATTCCACTAGCACTTATCTTTTCCTTTGGTAGATGTCTTTTCTCTACACATTTGAACAATACCACAATAAGCCCTCAATACCTTTATAAGTAAAATTCACATCTAGAGCAAGGATCCTTACCTTAGGATACCTTAGATCAACTCTTTACCAAAAACTACTCAAAAGCCCTCTAAAATCCTTGAAAAGTTGAAGGATAAATTGAGAGAAAAATGGTGGATGGATATGGCGGTGGAAGAAGAAGAATGAAGGGTTTACTAATATCAAACCCTTATTAACTTATGCTATACACCTTCTTTCCCATTTTGCCCTCACTCTTTCTTAGAAATTCCATCATTGTCCTTTGATTCATTACACTCACACCCCTAATACTAACACATTCTCCATGAAATTTTCTTACATTTTACTCCCCACTTTTACTGCTAATTAGGGGTAGAATAGTCACTTTGCCCCTAAGGAAAGAATGCTCTAGAAACTCACTACACATTTTAGTCGGTTCTTCACCACGGCGAAGACTCTTTCTTCGCCCCGACGAAAAGTTACATAACCTACCTCTTTGGTTTCAGGACCTCGTTGCCGTGGCGAAGATCATTCTTCACCCCGGCGAAGTCTGTAACACCAAAACTTTGCAAAGTCTTTACAATTTCAAGGCAATCACTCAACCAACCCAATACATCCATTCAACCAAGGGCCAACCAAACAATATTAACAATAAACCGACTCAAACAAGGGCAAAATAAGACACATTAGTTACGTACCTCGAGTGAGGCGTTACACACAACATCTTTCTTTCCTAGTTAATCTTCATACACAGTATTCTCAATATCCCCCCTTAAACACAACGTCTTTCTCTCTTGGTTTTCTCTCCTCTCAACTCTCTCGCATTTCTTCTTTTTATTTTCTTCTTCTTCCTTTCTATTCTCTCTTTTCTCTTTCTTTTTCTTATTGGTTTTTCTCCTCCTCCCGCGAACAATCCATTTTTAAAATCTCTTACTATTCATAAAAATATTTGGCAAATTTTTGTTAGCCCTGACTTGTTTTTGGCTATGACACTTTACTCCCTCAAAACTTTCAAATTCTTACACTTTACCTCCCAAAATTACTAAGTAAAATAGGATGACTTTTTCACGAGTATATATATAGTGAAAATTATTATGAAATAGAAAGGTTATTGATTAGTATATGATCTAAAATTGGCATATTTTGTCTCAAAGATATGTGCAACTTAGATGCCTTGGAGTTCTCGCTCCAAAGTCAACAATTATTTCTCTAGTGAACATTTATGTATATTCTAATGGAAGTCCATTAACAAGCGGAAAACTCACTGTTTAATTTATATTTTATCTAGCATAGCTCAAACTAAAGTTTCCACCTATGCCATAAATGAATTTGCTTTAGCTTTCATAAAAACAATAACATATATATAAATAATAGCGTCTCGATCTCATCTCAATCTTTATTTATGTATAATGGCGGTAATATCTGTGCAAACTTTCTTCTTCTTCTTCTTCTTCTTCTTTTTTTTTTTTTTTTTTTTTTTTTTTAAATCATTGGGAGTGTTTTAGTCAGTTTGCGTGCACCTTAACTAATTCTCCAAAACCTTAGAATTGTCGACTGCTTGAGGGGGAATCAAATCCAAAAGCTCATAGAACCTCATTTTACTCTTTTGTCATAGGCCACTAGTGGTGGTTAGCAAACTTTCTTCTTGTTATCATCAGTATTTATAAAATTTTTTTTGTTTGTTTGTCGCATTTGATGGAGCTTAATGGTGATTAATGAATAAATCGGTTAATAGGGACAATATCCTACTATGGTGAATTGTCTACCATCGTTATCATCCTAATTTTGTCCTTCCGAAGTGGACAGAACAAATAGTCCTAACCGCAAACAACAAACTTTAAATCCATTTGTACTGTAAAAAAAAAAAAAAAAAAAAAAAAAAAAAAAAGAACCATACAGAACTTGATGTTTGTTTGTGTACAAGTTTATTTCGTATTAATTTAATTGGCTATTTTCAGGCTTTTTCACGTGATACATTAGCGTCGTTTGAAATGTGACAACAAATTAACTTCATTAGATTATTTACCACATCATTTAATGTTATTGATACATATTGCTGAGGGGATTACTGTTATAAAGGTAAATGGTCAAACTACATTGGTCTAATCGGCCCATATAATAAATAGTCGAGGCATGAATGGAGACCCAAATTATAGCTGAACTGAACGGATCCACAAAAAATCAAAAAGCCCATTGGGTGGAAAAGTCAGTCAAGACTCCAAGTCAATAGGACGGCAGAGACCAACCGCGTGCTCAATTCTAGTTTCTCGTTTGAATAAATTTAGAAGGAAACCGCTAATTGCGGCCCCTTTTGTGTTTGATTTTTCAACGAGGAAGTGAACTGAAATGCAAGTGCTACGTGTGATTGTGTTGAATGATGTGTAAGTAAATATATAAAATTGAAACGCTCTTTAACTTTTGACTGAGAATCAACGCGTGTTTGTATGGACAAGGTCCAGAAGGAACAATCTATTCACTCGAAAAATCAATGTAAACTGATTTATCCCGGATGTGTACATATCAAATCTTTACGTTGGGGTATTTTTATTTACACTTAATGCTCATAATATATTTTGTAAAATTAGAATTAATTCAGTATAATAATTTAATTTAAAGCCATTTTATTTTTTGGTTAATACATAATAAAACAGATCCATGAATATCATTACATTTAATACAAACTACTGAAAAAAAAAAAAAAAAAAAAAATCAATATGCATACAAGAATTTGTATATGTTTTTTTCTATATGTAAATTATTCTATGTTCACATGGGTCCTACAAGAATATCTTTTGAATTTTTTTTTCACTAAAACTCTTTGGAAAATTCAAATTGTGGAAGCTTCAATCCTTTTCTCCTGGAGTCATGAAAAAGAGAAGCAAAGATCCTTTAACCAACAAGATTAGCTCAACCAATTCTCTATATAAACCAACGAGATTAGCTCAATCAATTCTCACTACAAAAGCATGAATCATATAATAATCGGTCGTTCAACTTTCTCCTTCGTTTGTTTCCTAGCCCTAGTGACATTACACGGCATCCATGCAGTTGAGTATGTAGTCACGAACAGAGCTGCAACAACCCCCGGCGGCATTCGGTTCAACAATGAGCTCGGCTCTGAATACACCAAACAGAGGATGGCAGCCGCCTCCGACTTCATTTGGGGAATTTTCCAGCAAAACACTGAAGCTGAACGAATAAACAGGCCACAGGTGATCCTTTCTGTTGATCCGGACAGCAAGTTCCTAGCGTACGTCGTCAACAATGAAGTCCACGTAAATGATAGCTATATCAATAACATTCGTGGTGATATCAAGTCGGATTTCAACGGGGTGCTTTACCACGAGATGACACATATTTGGCAGAACGGGATAGGAAAAGCTCCTGGAGAAGTAATTGAAGGGGTAGCCGATTTCGTCAGGTTGAAGGCAAATTATATCCCCGCTCACTGGGTGAAACCAGGAGGTGGTGATAAGTGGAATCACGGTTATGATGTTACTGCTCGGTTTTTTGACTACTGTGATAGCTTGAGAAATGGATTTGTTGCAGAGCTCAACAAGAAGATGAAAGATAGTTACAGTGATCGTTTCTTTGTTGATTTGCTGGGCAAAACCGTTGAGCAGTTGTGGAGCGATTATAAAGCCAAATATGCGAACTAAATTAAGCATGTTAATTAGGTTTTAATTTAAATAAGTATTATATATATGTGAGGGATAGTGATAATAAGGTGATCATCATGATTTAGTGTTGTCTCATTTGATCACCATATACAGTATATACATACATAATGAATAAAGATTTAATTTATATAAGCTATCGTTTAATTATTACTTTCTATTGATGGGTTTTTCTCATCGTTTATATCTTTTAATCTCTCATCGCAAATATTCTATTCAAAATCTTCGGACATTCAGGAACATCTTCTTCAAACTCATGCTGATTGACAAGTCAGGATTTATTGAATGGGTAGGCCCTTTAATTTGGCCCCTTTATGTGTATCACCGAAAACCATTGTTTACTATAAGTCCGAGTTATTAATTTAGAATAGTATGCTTTAGGATTCTATGAACTTTCCCTAGAAAAACCCTCTCCTTGACTATTTCAAATTGAACTCTTATGCGTTTCTCCCTGTTGAGGTTTTTCCCAGAAGGAATAGTATGCTTAGGAGAATTTTTTTTCGGTGGGGGGTTGTTGAAAATATGCTTAGGAGATTTGATTTGAATCCATTGCTAGGTGATATGAGCATACTTCAATTACACCACTTCTTTGATTTAGTCAATAAACAACACTACCATCCTAGATTGTAAGAATTGTTAGTTTATGTACGGAGTCTCTTGAAGAGACCTATTAATTTGCTTTTATTTCGCAGTAGTTGTAACTAAACAAAGTCCAACCTTTATAAAAGGACCTGCTATGAATAACAAAGACATGACTTAGCTTCCATATTTTCTTAGTGGAGTCCCGACTAAAACTCGAATACTAGTCAAAGCAGTTCTCAGTTTTTCCTTTTGCTGTAGTTGTTATCAAATTGGTATCAGAGCAGTTCCGTCCATGGCAGAAAGCGGAGCTCCTCAAACACGTTTGAAGGATTTGAAGGACCTTGCTGAGGATGCAGCAATCAACAGGATTGAGGGAAGCATGGAAACCTTCATGAGAGAGATCCGTAACCAAGTCTCTAATCCAGTGATGCAGATTCGAGATGTCTAAACACCCCCTTCACCACCCAAATCCAATGTTGTTCCTTCTTCCTCTGCATTACGCTTGCAAAACCCCTACGTCCAGCCCCAACGAGGACCAAAAATTAACCTATAAAAATATGACGGAGAAGAAGAAACTACTGGGTGGATTTTGCAAGCTGAGCAGTACGTCCTATTTTATCAAATTCCACCTCCACAACAGTTATTAATTGCCTCCTTTCATTTAAAAGGTGATGCTTTGTGTTAAGATTCTAGGGTTTATGATTAAACCTAAATCAGTCTAAAGCAGGTCATCAATCAACGATTAAACACAAGACAAATGAAAAATAAGAAGAACAAACATAAAACAGGATATAACAGTTTATAGTGGTTCGGCTTTACAGCCTACATCCACTATCCAAGGCTCATAATAGGGGATATCATTATCAATCAATAATGTACAGTGAGAATGATTTCATCAGAACATAAGGGAAAAACAAACAAGGAAGGAACACACCAATTCGCAAAACCCTAACTCTCTCAACCCAGAATTTGCCTTTTCCTCTTGCACCAGCAGGTGTTAAATACATATGCTTGAAGCCTGAATCATCATCCAACTGTCTCTGATTCTCCATAACCGCAAGATCACACGATCAATTCTGGAACATTCGGTAGGGTTGTGAGTTGTCAAAGCAAAAGAGAAATGAGAGAGAGGAATGAAGTCTGCGCACAAAATGAGATAACCCAAACAGATAGTATATTAGGTTTGGCCAAAAAATGACGTCGCATAAGAGAGTTTGACTTTAACACTTAAGCTGACTTCCACCATGGCAAATAAGGAGCCACATCACCACAAGTCTCCACCTTGGCTTCTCGATTTGTCACCCCCCATGTGGCCTTGGAAATGTACCAGTTCATTCTTGAACTTGAAGTAGGCTCATACAGAGCCTGTGTTTTTCAAATGGGACAGATTTTGTGAACATGTTGGTAGGATTATGAGATCCATCAATTTTCTCAATCTCGATCTCTCCTCTTTTAATCATTTCCCTAATGAAATGAAGACGGGCATCAATGTGTTTGGTTCTTTCATGGTAAACTTGGTTTTTACAAAGGTGAATCGCACTCTTACTGTCACTGTTAATCTTCACTGTCTGTTGCTCAATACCCAACTCATTGATCAGGCCTTTCAACCAGGTGGCCTCCTTTACTGCCTCAGTCAATGCAACATATTCTGATTCAGTTGAAGACAGGGTAACCATATGCTGCAATTTTGATTTCCAACTGACAGTGTTTCCCCACAAAGTAAAAACAAACCCAGATGTAGACTTCCTTTTGTCCAAATCTCCTACATAATCTGCATCACAAAACCCCTCAACACACTCATCACAACTATGGTTTTTCTTAAAAATAATTCCTACTGATTTTGTTCCTTGTAAGTATCTCATAATCCATTTAAGAGCCTTCCAGTGAGTCCTTCATGGATTGCTCATAAATCTGCTAACCAAACTTACAGCAAAACTTAAATCTGGTCTGGAACATACCATCAAGTACATTAGGCTTCCCAGTGCACTAGCATAAGGTATCCCTACCATGTCAAGCTTCTTAGTTTCAGTCTGTGGACTCTGCTCTTGTGAAAGTTTCAGGTGAGCATCGAGAGGAGTTTGAACAGATTTAGCATCCAGCATGTTGAATTTCTTCAGAATTTTCTCAGTGTAGTCCTACTGGACTAACTTTAGACTTTCAAAAGCTTTGTTTCTGACAATGGAAACACCAAGAATTTTTTGAGCTTGACCCAGCTCTTTCATTTCAAACTTGGTGTTCAGTAACTTCTTCAGTCGACATAACTCAGATTTATTATGGCATGCCATAAGCATATCATCCACATACAACAGTAAAAAAATATGTGTCAGTTCTGAGATTCTTTTATAGTAAAAATAGCTGTCAAAATTACATCTATTAAACCCTATTTCTAGCATAAAAGAATCAAATTTCTTATACCACTGTCATGGTGACTGTTTCAAACCATACAATGATTTTTTTAGTAGACAAACTTTACCTATAACACTGTTGTAACCTTCAGGCTGCTCCATTAGAATACTTTCTTCCAAATCCCCATGCAAGAAAGTTGTCTTCACATCAAGTTGTTCTAATTCCAGATTGAATTGAACTACTAGAGAAATCAGGACCCTAATGGATGTATGCTTGACCATGGGAGAAAATATTTCATTATAGTCAACCCCCTCTACTTGTGTGAACCCTTTTGCGACTAACCTAGCCTTGTACCTAGGTGCATCCTGAGTTTTTAAACCTGGTTTTCTTTTGAAAATCCATTTACATTTTACCACCCTATAGTTTTCTGGTTTATCAACCAAAACCCAAGTATTATTCTTCATAAGAGAATCAAATTCTTCCTCAATGGCTTTCTTCCATTCCAATTTTTCAGATCCAGAAACTGCTTCTTGGAATGTCTTAGGTTCATCATTCATCTCTTCCTCCACCTAAAGAGCATAAGCAACCAGGTGTGCATATCTTAGTCTACTTAGAGGTCTGATAGTTCTCCTAATTCTATCTCTTGATAATTGATAATCAGTCAAGTTTGAAGTATCTACACCTAGAGTATTCTGCCCTACTTCATGATCACCAGTTGGTTCTTCCTCATGAGTATCTAACTCCTCAACTCCACCTTGATTCAAACTTGGGCTAAAACTGGAGTCTGTCACTTCTAGTTCTAGGTGTCCAGCTTCTGAATAAGAGTTCTCAAATTCATCAGGTTTGTTTCCTAAACCAGGTAGGGTATTTTCTCTGAATATGACATCTCTACTCACAATACATTTCTTAGTTTCTAAATTCCAGAACTTGTAGCCTTTAACCCCATCTGGATATCCTAAGAAAATGCATTTGATGGCTCTAGGTTTTAACTTTTCATCCTTAGAATGAACATAGGCTAGACATCCAAAAACTCTAAGGTTTTCAAGGTTTACAGGATGACCAGTCCACCGTTCAAGTGGAACTCTAAAACCTATAGTTGATGAGGGTGTTCTGTTTATCAAGTAGACAGCAGTACGGGCTACTTCAGCCCAAAACTTGACTGGAAGTTTGGAACATGACAGGATGCTTCTTACCTTTTCTAGAATAGTCCTATTCATCCTTTCACAGAGCCCATTCTGTTGTGGAGTGTGTCTCACTGTCCTATGTCTAACTACCCCATTAATTCTATAGTAGTTATTGAACTCCTCATTAATGAATTCCAAACCATTGTCAGTTCTTAACTTTTTCACTTTCTTTCCACTTTGCTTTTCAACCATAGTTTTCCGTTCCTTAAATCTAGAAAAAGGCTTCATCCTTGGTTTTAAGAAAATAAATCCAAACATGCCTAGAGTAGTCATCTACAAGACTAAAAAAATACCTACACCCTCCAAGTGAATAATGCCTAGATGGTCCCCATAAATCAGAGTGCACATGCTCAAGTGGTGAGCTTGAGTAGTGCTGTCCAGTCCCAAATTTTACCCTACACATTTTCCCAAATACACAGTGCTTACAAAAATTCAGATTCCCTGTTTTATCCCCACCCAGTAGGTTTTGTTTACTGAGTTCACTTAAGCCCTTTTCACTAACATGGGCAAGCCTTTTATGCCACAAGGTAGTCTTATATAGTTCCTTAGTTGACCCAAAATTAGCCACTCCACTATCAGTCCTACCTTTCAACACATACAGTCCATTTCTTTTCTCAGCCTTCATGACAACCAGAGAACCCTTTAAGACACTAAGACTCCCATTAGCAGCCTTATAGTTCAGACCTATAGAGTCTAAAGTTCCAAGAGAGATAAGATTTCGTTTTAGGTCAGGGATATACCTAACATCAGTAAATGTCTTAGTTAATCCACTATGAAGATTCAGTTTAACAGATCCTATTCCCTTAATATGATAAACAACATTGTTTCCCATCATTACTTTCCCACCATCTAAAGGTTGAAATGAGCTAAACCACTCCCTATTAGGTGTCATATGATAGGTACAATTAGTGTCTAAAATCCACTCTTCCATAGTACTGCCCTATGAAATAACTAGGACCTTTGAACTCTCATAACCTTCTGATACTACCCCTGCACTACCTCCATCATCCTCTTTCTCATATT